AGCTTCTCAGATTTGCCACCTTGCCAGGTTCTAGTGCTCTCTCTGCTTCTGTCTGACTAGTTCCATCTAGTTCCATCAACTACCAGCACTATAACCACCAAAGTGGAGCCGCAAATATTTCCTTATTTGGTCACAGCTTACAGACTTTTCTTCTGACGGCCTCGTGCATCAATGCTTGTCATGTTCTGAGGTTCTGGGATATGACCAAGAGGGATCACATCTAACCGGACCTTTGGTCGAAAGAGGATGTTTCTATCCTCTCAAAAAACCCAACATCATCAGCATCAGCTGACTCTGAACTGACAAAGATCTGATAAAATTATTAATTCAGCCCAAATTTCTCTTAATATTTTTTGTTTTGTTTTTCTTTTTTGCTTTATTTCTCCGATTCAAGCTGCCGTGTGAAACAGCCAAACTAATGAGGTGACCAACCTGTAGTCTGAATTCAAAAGTTAATGTTTCTCTCTGATAAAAACAGGAAGGATCTAAAATGCGTCTTGCTTTCTGCTTTAATGCAAGTCAAGTTCATCTGTGCAGCAGCTTTCAGTAATCAGGCATCTCAAAGCACTAAACATGAACTAAACATAAAAGAGAGAAAATCCAAGATTAATGAGGTTTGTTTTGATTCTTTTAATGATTACACTGTGTAAATGTCCGGGTTCCTCTAATGATTTATTGGTGACATATTTTCCTCCTGTGCTGCTGGAAACCTCGCCTCGTCCTGTTGTTGGCTTCTTGTTAAAATCAGGAAACTAATCCAACCTTTTTTTTTTCTTCCTCTAAAAATAACTGAGATGTTTTTACCTACAGATGATCAGATATTTTTAACATAATTCATGTTTGGATTTGATTTTCTGTTCTTCTTCTCTTTCATCTGTAAATAATCTGATTTGTTTGTGTCTCATTTGTCTCATTATTTTTAACTATTCAACTGAGACCGATAAATAATTTACCTCACGTTTCTGGTGTTTTTAATATTCTTCCATCTGTTTCAGGTTCTCCGCCTGCTCTCTGAGCGTTCAATGTCTAAACTCTTCAACCGACTCTGGGTGCTGCTGCAGACAGACGTCCTCCCTGGAGACAGACGTCCTCTCTGCAGACAGACGTCCTCCCTTCAGACAGACGTCCTCCCTGGAGGCCGTCTCCCAGCTTTTATGTCCAGGATCCTGCTATAACGTGACCTTTAGGAATTCTGTATTGTCTCTCCAGGCGCTGTGGTTTCAGTCTCATTGTTTGTTTATTAAACAGATGCTCTATGTCAGTGTTGTATAAAATGACATCCAGGTTTTGTTTTGGGAGCTTGTTTGCTAAACATCATTTTAAAAGGCAGATGAACAGTGTAGATCTGTTTGAACACGTCTACCAGCAGCAAAGGAAACACTCCCATCCCTTTAGGATGTTCACAAACTAAAGGAAAGCAGCCTGTCTGTCTGATTGCAGAGGAAGAGTGATATGGAGATATCACTCCTCAGAGGCCAGCTGGAGCAGAGGGATGTTTACTCAAACCTAAAGAGGAACCAAGACACCGGCGTAACTTTGTGAAGGACTAGTGTGAACATCTCCCCACCAATAGTATCTGCTTTTTTCCCCTTTGCGTGCATTTACTTTAGCCAAAGGAAACAGAGGTTGGGTGCAGCTAACCCTGTTCAGAGCGTTTTGAGTCAGTGTTTTTATTTTCCTCTTTCACATTGCTTTGTGACATCTGATTTGCGGTCGCATTTCACTGTGTACAGAGTCGCTACCTTGAGGAGGAGAGACACAGCAGCATTAAATAGGAGCTACTTTGATGTATGTTTAGGTAAAAGTTAGGAGACGGGTTGGTTAAAAAAAAAAAATTAGGAGACGCCACTGAAAAATCTGTTAGACATGCGGACGTTTTTCAGCTAAAAACGGCAACAGATTGTAAGGTTATACAAGTTAGTAATATAATGCAATAAGCTTAAGAAAACATAGTTTAAATATTGTGTTCTTCTTTACTAGTTAAAAAAGCTGGGCCTCTCAGAGAACCATGGATCCCAGTTATAGGTTAAAATTAACATGTTTTTTTTTATTGTACGGACAGAATGAGGCTGCAGAGCTTCTACCATAGATGTCTGGACATGTTGTTTCTGCCATCGTTATCAGTGAGTAAATATCAGTGCATGTTTGAGCTCATTTTTGGAAAATACAAAAACCTAATGTAAGCGTTCAGGTTGAGTAACTGTAGGTCCATCAGCCCCCACTTGTGTCCCAACCCCCCCACCCCCACCAAATTTTATTACAAAGTTTCACCCTTGCACCAGGCTAAGCTCTAAGATGATGGTCATGTCTTTGACATAAGATAAACATCAATTACTTAATACACTACACGTTTTTTTTTGGTTTATTTTTCTTTTTTGGTTTATTCTTCATACGGTACCAGAGTGTAGAGGAGCAGCAGCTCATTTAGTGAAAGATTTACATCCTGTTTGTTAAAAGAAGCACTTTGACCGCAGGTTATTCATTCCTGCTGCAACCAGACTCTGCAATGTGACACTACAATAACTTGTGCAATCTATAATGTGCAATTAATATTTAATACCCTGTGAAATAACCTGTTTCTTTAAATCTGATTGCTAATGCAATAGTTATATAGAAAATACCTATATATTTTATTTATATATATATATATATATATATATATATATATATATATATATATATATGTTGACATGCACTGTAATTTAACCCCCCCAGCCCATGCACCTTTTCTTCCTTTTGGCACCTTATTCTCTTTTGACTATTTGAGGTAATGTAACTAGTAAATGTCTCCACTGTGAGATCAATAATCAATCAATCAATACTTTATTAATTAAACATTACTTATATCTGGATCCTTGATTTCATCCGATGGACTTTAAGTGAAACTTGTGTTCTACTGCTTGCATTAACAGCAGAGTGAAACAAATAATAAGAAAACTGAGCATAAAAAGCCCACAACTGTTTATTTAACTTAGAAAAGTTAATAGTGAGTCCATGATGTCTATAATGGAAAACTTATGGCTCCTTTCAAACAAACCTGGCAACTTGGTTTTTTTTTTTCCTGGGGGGGGGGTTACCATTGGCCTTAATTTTGCTCTATTTTAAAACTTTAATAAATCAATAGATTAGGAAACTTTTCCTGAGATATGGAAATCATCGCAGCAGAATGTAACAGCTCGTTTTTCGGGTTGATCATCGTAGGTGAGTCTGACCGTTTGGGTCTGAGTTTACATTTTAAACTGATCTCACGATGATAAGGGTGACTCACTGCTCCCCTTCCCCATGTGTTCCCATCCATGTGTTTACAGTTGGTTTCGTTCTGGTGGGTTCAGGTTCCACCTGCAGGCCCAGAGAATACACAACCAGGGACGGACAATGCTGTCCGATGTGTCAAGAAGGTACGAGAACAACAGAGAGGGAAGTGAAGTAGCGGAGAAGCCATTTTGTTAAGAGACATAGGCCATCTAAAAAAAAAAAAATCGCCCCACCCGTGTTTGTGCGTGTTAGTGTGCACCTCTAATGACCAACACACACGGAGAGGTCGCCTACCAGCTGCACTACCTTAGAACATTGATAATGATAGTATTTGCTCACCTTTATGGCTGTAATGTTAACATAGACTGGTGCGTTCACGGTCAGTCGTTTTTTGTTTTTTTTTTGGTGGGGGTTTAAGTGTAGCTACACCCGTCAGATAATTTTTTCTGTAATTTATATTATTTTTGATGCAAACCCTAAATGAGATCAAAATGATCAGAGTTTATAGAGGAAACTGACCCCTGAAATTATCACAGGTTCATGAGAAATCTCCTCCTTTTATGGGGAGTGGGATGGTTGAAACAGTTTTTACTTCTTCAATTTCTCACGAGATATTTATGTTTGTGTGGCAATATTTTAACGTTGTAAAATTGACGTTTAATAGAAGAAACACAATGAACTGGTAATACTAAAGGTAACTGATTAACCATGGAGCCAACTTTCATTATGGAATGTGAAAAATTCAAGATTTCATTAAAAAAAAAGTAAAAACTGATGATCACACTGTCTCCTTCAGCTGCAGCATTTTTTCCAATGAGATGATTTCAGTGTCACTGCAGAGTCCCTGCAGCTATGATGTCTACCATAGACATAGCGGTAGGTATGTTGCAAAGCACAGTCACTATATATCACAGAGAGAGATGTGTGTGTATATATATATATATATATATATATATATATATATATATATATATATATATATATATATATATATATATATATATATATGGTGATGGTAA